CAGGGCCAGTTAAATCATCCCAATACCGTAAAACTAAAGTGAGAGGCGTTCCCTCTGGAATCTCCTCTTTAGCTTGTACACATCCCATGTTAACAAACAACACAGGAGGAAAACAGCAGACCTAAGACAAAACTGAGAAAACCAACAGCCTCACACACGGTGTGCAGGTTTTGTAATCAGGCACCAAAAGGTTCAGACAGAAATACAAAGTTTCAACCGGGGGAGGCGTACCCCCGCTTCTGCGGCCACACCCAGCCAACATGAAATCCGAAATCCTCCTGCCTGTCCTGACTGAAACTTCCTGGACAGTTCCACTGCCCACTCCGGTAAAAATCCCTTTGCCAACAGACTGGGAAAATACTGACTTTTTGGGCCCAAGTCCAAGTTTCCCTTCCCAGTCTCACCGTATTCCCTAGCCCTGGGGAAAACTCCTTCCCGCAGCTGCTAATTAAAATTCTCCAGGAGTTGTTCCTTATCTTACCTCCGTGTGCGGTTCCGAGAAGCTGGGCTCCCCGAGATCGGAACAGGAATTCCTCAAAATATGCCGACCAGAGAAGAAATCCCTGCAAAACGGAATACCGATCCAGAGGAGTCACAGGTCCCGATGTCCCCGTACCGGTCACCAAAACTGTTGTTGCCTAAATGGCTGTGGGGAAAAAAAGACTCCAAGTCAAATTAGGTAGGAGATAAGGATACAAAGGCTTTAATGAGCCCCCAGGCTTTCTGGAATACCCCTAACATGCTCCCAAATACAGATGTTCACAGTTTTTTTAATGATTTTCACCCAATCCCCGTCCTGCCACCACCCAGGTTCTGCCCCCACCACGCCTCTTGGAAATTGGGTCTGGGGGTGTTTTGGGACCCCCTCTTCTTCATCTTCATCTTCCTCAGAGCACGTAAGGTTCTTGGAGGCCTTCCAGAGTCCCAGGACTGAAGGTTGTTGGGTCTACGGCTATATCTTCTTCCATAGGGTTAGGATGTTCTCTACAATTCTACCTTGAAAAAGAGACTAAATAGGCCAGTGGAATTTAGGGGAATTGATATGGGAATGGGTAACAGGGTTTACTATGTGTAGCTGGTGTTTTAAAGGGTAAAGGGAAAATATGCTGCTACTTTAAAATCTACATTTACTACATAACTACTTCTAAGATCTACAAAAATTAAAAAATCAAAACTCTAAGGTATCACCCCACAGGCATTCCTGAAAACGGAATACCTCACTCTGAGATGGGTTGGTCTCTCTATCTCAGGCGTCCTCCACAAGGTGTCCTGTGGGAAAAAAAAAAACCTGCCTCTCAGGAAAAGAAAAGGAGGCGGCCAAAAACGGGATTCCTGCTCTGTCTGGTTTGCGGAGTAATCCCAGAAGCCCCTGAAAAAAGGACTCCACAGCTGTCCCTACAGCCACCACGTTCCCCCTCTCCCTGCTCCTGTGCTGCCCAGCACGTATGGCTTGCTGTGCCCCCACCCCTCCGACCATCCAAGAAGAAACAGATGGGGGGAGCAGGATTGGGGGGGGGGACACACACATGACCCTAGGGAAGAAAAAAAAATTCCAACATCTCTTTTCAGATCTATGACATATCTAATCTAAACCTGTCTTCTTTTCCAGTTTAAAGCCATTGCCCCTTGTCCTATCACTACATGCCCCTGTAAAAAGTCCCTCTCCAGCCTTCTCGTAGACCCCCTTCAGGTAGTCGAAGGTGCTAAAAGGTCTCCACAGAGCCTTCGTTTCTCCAGATAGAACAGCCCCAGCTCTCTCAGCTTGTCTTCATAGGAGAGGTGCTCTGGCCCTCTGATCATCTTAGTGGTCCTCCTCTGAACTTTTTCCAACAGGTCAACATCCTTCTTGTCTTGGGGACCCCAGAGTTGGAGTCAGTACTTCACGTGGGGTCTCACAAGAGCAGAGTAGAGGGGAAGAATCACCTTCCTCGACCTGCTGGTCACATGTTGTAGTAGCCAGGACAGTCGAAAGAATAAAAGCCAGGTACAGTATAATGATGATCCATAAGTCTGCTTTATTGCTCAGTTCAGCCTAATTTATACACACTCTGTGAACAGAACCTTATATACCTTTCTATTAATAACTCTCTATCTGTGGTCTGTTATTAGTTTTTACACACAATTGGATATTCACACCTTATTTACATTCTTCTCTCACTGGTCAGTTTTGGCATCTTCTCAAGTCTTTCACTGCTCCTGTGAATTCCTCAGGTAAATAGCTTCAAAATGTCTAAGTCAAAATCCTCCACCTCTATATCCTTCATCTAGGGGTCTGCGGACCCGCCTCCTACCCCAACAATTCCCCCTTTTTCTATTTGTGCCACAAAAATTGCCTGTGCCATCTTCTGCAGGGTCCTTTGCAGAAGAGACACAAGACATGACAACATAAGTAGTACAACTACAACAATAAGCAACACAAGCAACCCTGTTTTGACAAGAGACAGAAGCCATCCTGATAGTCCCCATCCACTAAACGGATTATTTAATCAGCCCCAACCATCGTCAATCTGTAATTTTTTGATCCTGCTTTTAATTTTTGAATGCTAGCATGAATTGACTCGCTATGATTGGACAAATTCATACAACACATTCTGTCAAAATCTTGGCATCCATTTCCTTGCGCTAACAATAAAAAGTCTATTGTGGCTCTATTCTGCAATGTAGTATGTCTACTACTATCAACATCAGATAATAAACCACTCAAAGCAATAGAAGTAGCATTAGTTTGCTTACTCAGTCAACATCCCAAATTTGTCAGCTTTTTCAAAGCTACTGCTGCAGCAACACCAGGTGCCAATGCTGATGCTGCAATGATTTCTCCAGGCCCCCAATAGATCACCTGGTCATCACACTGGTTGGTGAATTGATGAATAGTACGTTTTTCTTGTCTTTTGTTATAAATCATGGTGAGATTAGGAGTCAGTAAAGTCTCCCCAAGCTACATGGTCCACCATTAAGTTTTGATGGGAGGTGACCCCAAGCCCTATCCCCACAAATAAGAAAAACTCCATAAGGTAAGGCAACAGGTACATTAAAAGATCACGAAACATTACTAGAAATATAATTACACCAAGCAGTTGTATTTCTATATACAGGCAATGTGGCATTAACGTTCTGTCCTTTTCTCATTGTATTATAAGTATAATTAAACATAACACAAGCATCCATCACTACTGATCCTAACAATTCTAGTTCTTGAGGCTCTTGTGTAACTTGTGTAAAGTGTGCATAGATTCTGTCCCAGTTATCAACATTTTTCTTTGGTGCAGAACTGTTGCAGTGTCCTGGGTCTGTTGGGCAAGGCCAGGCACCTAAAGGAAACCCCACCAAGCAGGTAGAAAAAGGATTCTCAGGGTTCGCTACAGAAAGGCAGAGGGTGTCCTGGTGTGTCACGTTCACCAGTGTCATCCACACATTCTGTTTTGGCTAGGGGACAGTCCACGCAGTTACATTTAACAGCATCCAAGACAGGACACACACACCGTGCAGGAATCCATCGAGGGCCATTATCTGTGGAGACACACATATATCCCCTCCCCCACATTATTAACTCATGTGGACCAGACCACTGACCAGAAACAAGATCCCAAATCTGTACGGGGGCCTTGCCAGTCGCCGACTGCACAGAAAAAAAGAGACGAAAAATGCAAAAAGGTAGGTGAAGAAGAACCAGGGAAGGTTAAGAAGTTCAACACATACATGGCTTTGTTTAACTGCACTTGAGGGGGTTGACCTTCCATTCCCCCTTTTTGTTTTTGAAGCAACTGCTTCAGGGTGCCATGCATGCGTTCAACAATAGCTTGCCCTGTAGAGGAGTGAGGTATTCCTGTCACATGAGTGACACCCCATAGTGCGAAAAAGGTCTGCACCATTTTGCTTACATAAGAGGGGCCATTGTCAGTCTTTACCTGACTCAGCACCCCAAATGTAGCAAAGGCGCGTTGGAAATGTTTTACAACATCTCGACTTTTCTCGTCGGTATGTGCAGTAGTGACAATCACATGAGAAAAGGTGTCAACTGAAACGTGAACATATTTCAGATTACCAAACTCAGCAACATGCGTAACATTGGTTTGCCAAATTTGCAAGGCTTTAAGACCACGGGGGTTAGTTCCAAAATACACAAGAGTATGACTATGGTGACAATCTGGACAAGAGGAAACAATTGAGCGAGATACAGAATGGGTCAGTCCAAACTGACGGCAGAGTGCTTCCGCTCCTTGATGGAAAAACTGATGTGATAACACTGCTTGTTGATGAGTGTTGGGAACCAGTTCCAAAGTAGCAGCAGAAACTAGGGCATCTGCCCTGGCATTACCTTCAGTAAAAAATCCAGGTAATGATGTATGACTACCGTATATGGAAAATAAAATAAGGAACAGTTCTTTGCAACAGAGTTCTCCAGAGTTCCAACAAAACCTGAAAAACTGAAGTAAAAGGTCGAGAATATAATACGGTATGATCAAATTGCTGCAACAAATTAACTACATAGGCAGAATCAGTAACAACATTCAACGGTTGGTCATGAAACAATTGGAAAGCCAAGGTTACCGCTCAAAGTTCCACAATCTGAGGTGATCCCTCCTGAGAAGTAACCTGTTGTTGCCATCCATCTGTGGATCGCCACACAACTGCAGCTTTCCCTGTTTTTCCAGAGCCATTGGTAAAGACAGTAAGTCCATCCAAAGGTACAGAACTGCGTAGTAATTTTTGTCCCACTAGTACTTCTCTAAAAAATTTGAACAATGGATGGGAAGGTAAATGGTAAGAAACTTGGCCACTAAATCCAGTAAAAGCAGCTTGTAACTCATATTTGCTGGCCAAACACCATTCAAAATAACAAGATTGCACTGGAACAACAACATGAGCAGGTTCTTTGCCCGTACACTCTACACAGTGCTTTCTAGCCTTGATCACTATGTCAACTAACAGCTCAAATAGTCCAGGGATAGTTTTGCAAAACTTATAGGGCAAAAACAGCCATTCCAAGATGTGTAAAGGATCAGGTCATTGGTCACACCACTGGACTAAAACTCCAAAAGGAGTAAGGTGGTCTATTAAAACAAAAAGCTGAACTTCTTGTCTAGGGTCAATTCGAGAAATGAATTTTGAGTGGAGTGCTTGTTCTACCTGCTGGAGAGCTTGAGTTGCTGCTTTTGTCAAATGTCTAGGTTTTTGAGGATTAGTGGAATGCTTGAGCAGCTCAAATAAAGGTGCCAATTGAGTGTTTGTCAACCCCAAATAAGGTCTGATCCAATTTATAGATCCCACTAATTTCTGTACATCAGTGAGAGTCTTAATTTCAACAGCCAATTGTATCGGTTGGGGAGCAACAGTGTTCTGGGTAATTTGCATTCCAAGATACTTCCAAGAGTGTTCTCACTGTACCTTTTCAGGAGCAATTTTTAGGTCAAATGTCTGTAGCTGTTTCTTTGTCTCTTTTTCAAGTTCAGTCAGTTGATCCTTATCGGTTGCTGCAAGCAAAATGTCATCCATATAATGGTAACAATAACAATTTAAAAATTTTTCACGAACTAGAGACAGTGTCAGAGCAATAAACCACTGACAAATGGTGGGGAAATTTTTCATTCCCTGGGGAAGAACTTTCCACTGGAATCATTGGGTTGGTTCCGTGTGGTTCACCGAGGGAACAGTAAATGCAAATTTTTCTTTGTCTTTGGGACCCAATGGTATGGTAAAAACCAATTTTTTAGATCAATAACAATAATGGGCCAACCAACAGGCAACATTGAAGGGGATGGAAGACCTGGTTGCAACGTCCCCATATGAGTCATGACTGCATTGACCTATCTAAGGTTGTGGAGTAGGCACCATTTCCCTGACTTCTTTTTAATGACAAAAACAGGGGTATTCCAAGAGCTAAAGAGAGGGTTCAATATGACCAGCATCCAGCTGTTCTTTTACAAGGTGCTGCAGGGCCAGCAACTTTTCTTTAGGAAGGGGTCACTGGTCAACCCACACAGGAGTGTCTGTGAGCCAAGATAAGGTAACAGTGGGTTGTGTAACACCCTGCAATGCAGTGACCCCTGTTAGAAATCCATTGTAATTTTCACCCCCCACTGAGAAAGACAGCCCCATCCCCATAGTGTCAAGGGAGCAACAGTTAAAATAGGCCTAACTGTGGCTGATTGACCCTCGGGGTTCACAATAAGTATGGGATCACTTGAAATGTAACTCTGAGTAGTTCCACCCAATCCCACAACTCCAGTGGTTACCGGAGCTACTGTCCATGAAGCGGGCCAGGCAGCATGTGCAATGATGGTTACATCAGCCTCAGTGTCCAGTAGTCCAGTCAAGGAAATGTTGTGAGGTGAACCTTGAGTGTAACGCAGATGGCAAGTCATTTGTGGTCAGTGTGCGGAGATCGGTTGAGACCAAAAAACTTGTGGTGTACCAGTAGAACCGAAATCTCCATCTTACCATTCACGGAGTTCTGTTTTTGGAACACAACTCACAAAAGGTACAAGTTGAGTTATTCGAGTCCCTTTTGGTATTTGGACTGGAGGATACATAGTAGAAACCATGGTAGAAATCTGTCCTGTATAGTCAGCATCAATCCTATGTGAACCATAAGTCCCATTAGAGTACTGCTCAAACGTCCCACTAATAAGGCACTTAATCCATTCCCTATAGGTCCCCAAGCATTTAAGGGGACCTTAGTAACATCTTTAGTTATGATTGTGACTGTGTCAGCTGTGGAAACATCCATGCCGGCAGACCCGGAAGTTTTGCCTGTGAGTTGATCACATAAGGGAATCCTGCCGGTCCCTGAGGCAGAAATTGAGCTGGAGGCATTTCTATCTCCCCACGCCCCATCACGCTCTGCTTCCCATTTCCCGGCAAGGGGTGACCTGCAGCATGGTATCGAGAGTGACATTACTTTGCAAAATGGCCCTGTTTGCCACAGAGAGTACATGTACCTGTAAGAGTCACCACTCCCTTTTTCCCCATTCTGACTTTCCACTGAGGGCAATGGGCTTTCAAATGTCCTTCTTGATGACACAGGTGACACTTCTGTGGGGAATGTAAAATGGCTGCCAGGGCAGACATGGAATAGTCAATAGATCCAATTTTTGAACAAGCCTCCACCATGTCAGCTATATCAGGTAAACCAGGTAAGGCATCAATGACCTTTCAGCAATCAGTGTTAGCTTGATCTATAGTTAATTGCACACAAAGCTTTTGACTCAAGGTGTAATCCTCCACTTGTTTTTCTAGTGATTGCGCTAACCGTTCAACAAACCTTAAAAAGGGCTCCCCATGGTCTTGTCTTATAGCTGTGTAATGCTGTTATGGAGCTGACATTTCCATAACTTGTAACAGGGCACCCATCCCCAAATTCTGGGCTTCTTGCAACACAGTTGGGTGCCAAGTGGCCTGCAAATCAGGACTGCTGAAAGGTCCTTGACCCATCAAGGCTTGCACCCCTACACCTTTTAGAGGGTCGCCATCTACTCGACTGAGATTCTCTCTCTCTGCCCGTGAGGCCATCTGAGTCCACTTTCGCTCAAACAACTGAGTTTGCAGAGGTTCAAATAATATTTGAGCAAGGTGCGTAATGTCATAGGGGGCTAATAAGTCAGCATTAATGACACGTATCAGCCTCATCACTTGAGGGGAAATGAGACTGTATTTTCCAACATTAAACTGCAAATCTTGCACAACCTTCCAGGCAAAAACATTGTGCTCATTAGCCTTTCCTGATCCCACTGCTGCTTTCGTAACTGGAAATGCCTGGGGACCCTCTGCTAATCCAGAACATTCACCTCGGTCTCGAAAAGAGTGATATCCAATCCTTTCACAAAGGTCCCAATCACCTGTTCTTGCCACTTCCCTGCGCAACCCCTCCCAAAAGGAACCAGGATCTCTGGGTAGTACGACAACCTTTGCAGGAGGCAAGCAGATAGGTTTGGACTTAGTGGTTCGTAAGGGCTTCTTGCAGCGGGAGCCTTTTTGTAAAAGGAGTTCAACCTCTTTAAGGGACTCTTCCCCATCAGAACTGTCCGAATCCTCCAAAGAGGAGGAGCTGCTATTTTGTACCTTGGTAGCAACAGGCAAAGCAGCAGTGGGAACGGGCCCAGCAGAATCAGCAGGGGAAGGGGGGGTTTCTTGCTGTTTCTCTTCTGCTTTTACTATTAGCTGTGATGCAGGGGATGGATAGTCCTGGAGTGGCGGGGGGATGGCAGCAGAAGTATATGTGCGAGCAGGGGGAAGATTAACAGGGGAGACATTTTTCACAGAACAAGAAGAGGGGGAGGAGGTACTGGGAACTGATTCTGTAAGTGTTAATTCAGCCATGGACTTTACCAGACCCTCCTCCCCAGTAGCCCCCTGTTCCTTTTGTACTTCATTATACCGGTCCTTCAGGGTGGTGAGCACAAGCTTGCATGTAGGGGTAAGCCCCTCCACCGCCTCATTAACATTCGATATAGCATCCCATAATTTCCTCCCAATCTCTTCCCAAGTAGAAATGTTAAAAGCTGAATTTAGGGTAGCTTCGCACCCCTCTTTTTGGCACCAATACAAAAAACGCCGCAAGCAGTCATCATCATACTTAATATCACACCATCGAAGCAGCGTATTCCAAGCGTTAACTATCCGCTTCTCATCTGCACTCATAACTTGTCCTATTGTGCCCGTAAAGTTCTCGGTGGCTCACCTGCCCCAGGTGTCACAAACAGACGAATTCAGGTCCGGACCCTTTGCAGTGCCCCGTTGTTCTCTGTTTCACCGAACTCCGCCCTCACCGCACCTCGACCCGCGGTTCTGATCCCTCACTGGGAATCGTGATTCCTTACTGGGAATCACCACTGTTCCGGTCCCTCAGAAAGGATCGCCTTCGCTCCCCCGATGGGACTTGCGTGGTCCCTGGATTTCGACCCCCTCAGGTCGGATCATTTCGTTGTTTTAATCCTTCACTGGAATCATGTCGTTAATGTCGTTCCCTCAGGTGGGATCATGTCGGGGGCCACCAGTTGTTGTAGTAGTCAGGACGGCCGAAAGAATAAAAGCCAGGCACAGTATGATGATGAAAGTCTGCTTTACTGCTCAGTTCAGCCTAATTTATACACACTCTGTGAACAGAACCTTATATACCTTTCTATTAATAACTCTCTATCTATGGTCTGTTATTAGTTTTTACACACAATTGGATATTCACACCTTATTTACATTCTTCTCTCACTGGTCAGTTTTGGTATCTTCTCAAGTCTTTCACTGCTCCTGTGAATTCCTCAGGGAAACGACTTCAAAATGTCTAAGTCAAAATCCTCCTCTTCTGTATCCTTCATCAGGGGGTCTGCAGACACGCCGCCTGCCCCAACAGTCACACTTCTTTTGATGCAACCCAGGAGGTAGTTGGCTTTCTGGGCTGCAAGCGCAAATTGCTGAGACATGTTGAGCATCTCATCCACCAACAACCCCCCAAGTCCTTCTCCCCCAGGCTGCTCCCTATCCATCCTCTCTGTCCAGTCTGTGCTTGGGAATGCCCCAGCCCAGGTCCAGGACATTGCATTTGGCCTTGTTGAACTTCATGAGGTTCCCACAGGCCAACCTCTCAAGTCTGTCAAGGTCCCTCCAATGGCGTCCCTTCCCTGTTGACTGTACTACACAGCTTGGTGTTGTTGGCAAACTTGCTGAGGATGCAGTCAATCCCACTGTCCATGTGGCCAACAAAGTTGTTAAACAGTGCCATTCCCAATACCAACACCTGAGGAATGTCATTTGTCACTGCTCTCCACTTGGACATGGACAATTCTATGAGTGCAACCATCCAGGCAATTCCTTATCCACTGAGTGGTCCATCCGTCAAATCCATGTCTCTCCAGTTCAGAGACTTGGATGTCACACAGAACAATGTCCAATGCTTTACACAAGTCCAGGGATATGACATCAGTCGCTCTTCCCTCATCCACCACTGTTGTAACCCCATCATAAAAGGCCATGTGATGGTTCGGACCTGGCTCCCTGCCAAATGCCCAAACTCACAGTAGCAACCTCCTTCCCCCTCCCTTCTTCCCTTAGGGCAAAGAAAAAAAACTATAAAAATTGAAGAACCTGAAATCAAGCTAATTATATAAAAATATATATATTTACATATATTACAGTTATATACAGTTAAGATGCTATGTACAAAGCACAGGGAATCCAAACAGCCCCCCGAAGGGAAAGGGAAAGGGGAAAAAGGGACAAAAAGAGACACCGAACAGATATACACAATCAAACTCAAGAACTATACTAATAACTAGCAAAACAAATCTCACCACATCCCTTAGAAAAGCAAGACTGGAAGACACAGTCAACACTCTCCAAACCTTTCACGTGGTAGGCCAGTGGTCACTGAAGGCCTCAGCTTCTAGACAAGTGAGACCAAAGCAAGGTTCCACTGTTCCCGAACATCGCCGTACGAGAAGAGAGAGACCTCTCTAATCTCCAACTTATTTATTCTCTGGTTTACATAAAAATCATATGGAATACTGGGTACATGGTCACTTCCTTGGTTACAAGCTGGTTACCAGGAAGGCCTAGACCAAAACCATCACAGGCCACCAAATTTGTCAGGCACGATTTGCCCTTTAGTGAAGACATCTTGGCTGTCACCAATCACCTTATTTTCCACGTGCCTTAGTATAGTTTCCATGGTGATCTGCTCCATGATCTTGCCAGTCACTGAGGTGACACTGCCCAGCCTGTAATTCCCTGGATCTTCCTTATTTCCCTTTTTTAAAATGGGGTTTATATTTCCCCTTTTCCAGTCAGTGGGAAGTAGTCCAAGGACTAGAATCAAAGTGTCTCCAGCTTAAATGGGATTTACATGCTCTCTGGAGACCACAGTCTAGCAAAAAGGTGAAAAGAATGAACAAGACTCTTAAAAAACTAATTTCAAAACTGTGCCAGGAAACTCAGCTTAAAAGGGTAGGTGTGATGGTTTTGGTCTGTTCGAACCATCACAGTAGGTGTTTTACTGATTGCTTTGATGAGAGTTAGAATCACTCCATGAGTTAGAGAAGGAGCAAGTCCTTCTGAAATATTAGATGGGAAGCCATATCCAACTAAAAGTACAAACAATCTAAGTGATCAAATGCATGTTAAAGGGGAAGGAATGATAAAAGCTTATTTGCTGTCTCTTTTGCATGCTTTATGATCTTTACATAGTGTAGCAGGATGTTCTACCCTGATAAGGACTAGAATCTGGTCAGAGAAATGCAAACAATGCAAGCTATCATACAAGCTATCTGTGGTGAGTTATCACTGGCACCAAGGTGTTGGTTTTAGTGTTGAATTATGCTAAAACTGGCCTGGTTCCCCAAACTTTAAACATATATCCTGCTTTTTGAAGTAAGATTTGACAGATAAACTGCTAGCTGGCCCGGAAATACGTGACTAGCAGTCCATCACTTTGTAACTATAAAAGCCCAGTCCAACTTTGACATGGCAAATTCTTCCACATACTTTCTTGAAGTGTGTGGAGCTTCTCCTGTGAAGCAGGGACACCTCTTCATGGTTTCTCCCCAGGGGTTAAGTGAGAGATCTGCCTGCTATCATCATGTTGTGAGTTGCATCAATCTCTACTTAATGATTGGGTTTTTTTGCTAGTTTTGATACAATTGCTTAAATATAATTGCTTTGATATAGTGCACTATACCATCTCTACTAGTAGGATTTTAGCTTTTATACTGTATAGTAAATAATTCTGATTAAGATCTTTTATCTATTGACTCCTCTGTTCTTCTGTCTGTTCATTTGTCATAATAAAGAATTAATTTTACATAAATATATCTGATTTGCCATCATTCAAACCTGTGGGACAAAGCAATTTAATCACATCTCTATAATTCCTTAAATTTAAACCATTGACAACATCTGAGGCTAAGATTGGATCCAGCTGCACCTAGGCTCCTCTTTGAGAAGGATTTTAGAAAGCAAGGGGGTCTTTTCTGCACCTTGTAGCTCAATGAGATAGCTTCTCTAATAAAATTTGTTTAAGCCTTCCACTCTGTCATGGTTCAGCTAGTTTCTTGGAATTTTTTCCCTTCCCCTGCCCTGTGTGCCAGAACCATTAAGAGCTATCAGGTGAACAAAAGGGATGGCTCCTTCACTAATTGCCAGAACTTAGTCTCCTAGGAAACGGGGGAGACCTTTTTCTCTCGTCTCCTGGGCAATGGGGGAGGAGGAATTTGTGGTAGGCTGGGGGTGGTTGGTGATGCTTTTGCTCTCCGGACCTGTTTGCCAGTTGCAGACGTTGCCTGTTTTTTTTTTCTTGTCGGAGGGGAAGTTTGCTGCTGCTCTCTGCCCAGCTGTTGCTAGCTGCAGCTTTTGCTTGACCAGCTGAAGATCGTGAGTTTTCTTCCATGGGGAGAACTTTCTGTTTTGTTGCTGTTTATCGGTTTGGTTTTTTTGAAGGGGATTATTTGTGGGTATAGGAGTATTGTTTAGTTGTTTTACTTGTTTTTTTTCATGTTTTCTGTTAATACACACATACCTTTTAGTAAAGGGCTTTTATTTTTTCCTTTTCCATAATTTGTTTTTCCTTCAATCGGAGCCTCTTAATTTTGGATTTATACTTGCTTAGTGGGAGGAGTTTGGGTCTTTTCTCATAACTCATCCTTAGCAAAAGACCCTTGTCTCATTTAAACTGGGACACACTCCCACCCGTGACACATAGGTACCTCAATCAGCAACCACCTTTGCCCCTGGACATACCAGTGCACAACTTTCAATCCAGGGACTTGGTTTACATTCACACTTGGAGAGATGAGCCACTGAAAGAAAAGTGGAAAGGATCATTCTGTTGACCACTTATACAGCTGTGAAGGTGGAGGGAATCAGCTCCTGGATCCATTATAGACAAGTCAAGTCAGTCCCTCCACAAGAAACTAAGTGGAGACCCAAATTGGCAGGGCCCTTAAAAGGCTGTATTGACACACCATTGCATCACAAAACGAAAAAGTATATTTTGTTCTCTGAGGTTATAGGATCAAGTATGTTCTTCCAAAAGTGGAATTGATCCGAGAATGTGTGAAAGAATCTGGACAGAAATGTTGTAAATGCTACCTCTTTTTGTTTTACTAGGGAAACTTCTGTAGAAGAGGTTTTTACCTCATGTCTAATAGGAGTTCCAACTCCTCCTAGTATTATGAAGTATACCATGTTTAAGGCCTTTAACATTAATGTGACTTATTATATTATGTATAATTGGAGACCTAATACTAAATGATTGGAAAAAGGAATGCTTAGAGTTAAGGTAAGAAGAGTGTTGCCTGCCAAAAAGTGCATACAATTCACAGTCTGTGCTGCACCTGCGTCATGGGTTTGCTCTGGGCTAATTTTTTTTCTCTTACACTCCCCACAATTGCTATAAGTTGAGAGAAGGTTTATGCAGACAAAAGAGACCTGATTGGGGAAAATAATATTAGGATTTATTACTAACAAGATAAAAACTAAAGAACTATATCTACTACAATACTAATTAGGTATAAGTGTTATGTATTTACAAAAATACCCCTCCCCCCTTTGTATCAGTTCAGGAGGAGAAACAGTCTCTTTCTCTCTTTTCTGGATCTCTAGGTCTTTTAAATAATTTTGCAGCACTCAAAAGTTCTTCTTCTATTATCTCTAGGACGACAACTCTGATTCATCGCAGCTGGAACTCTTTCTCTCTCTCTCTCTTCTATGTCAGCCTCAGGGCTGGGCCTACCCCCCTCCTGGGCTAAGACCAGAGGTTGGGGGGTTACCCAGGCCCTGCAGGGTCTTCCATGGACTTGCAAGGGGACACTTGCCTACTATGGATCTTCACCACAGAGTCACAGGGGGTAATGGTTTTTGAGTCCACCCCTGTTTCCTGTGGGGTCCCTTCCCACAAGAAAATAGTCTTTGATAGACCTCTCCAATGTGGGTCCATCTCTTGGACAACAGGTCTTCTATTCTCTGCTGTCCCTCAGGGTCACAAATTCAGCTGCACTAGCATGGATCCCTCACTTGGATCCCAACATCTTACCTGAGCCATTCTGCTCCATCATAAGTCTCTCTCCATGGCCTAGAAGTCTCCAGCAGGACTCTTTTTCATTTCAGGCTTTCTCATGAAGTCTCAGCTTCTTCGTGCATTCACTTAATTCAGTGTAAGCTCTTCTATGAACTGCCTGGGGGTCTCCTCACCTTAATAAACTTCCATGGGTGGCAGGTTTTTTATTTTTCAGTCTTTTCCCTGCTGAAGGGAGAGAGAGAGAGGGGAGAAGCAGCCCCCCCCTTCGAACTTCTCTCTCCTGCTGCTGCCAGCTTTGACCTTGGAGGTCTGTTATTTCTCTGCTGGAATTTTTTCTGCAGCGTTTCTTGTCCAAACAGTCAGTCCTTCTCCAAAGTTTTTTTTTTCTCTATTCTGTTACAAGAGAGAAGGGGAGCTTCAGTGCCACACCTGCCCCTGGCCCACTTGGGGCCTGCTGCTGCTCCTACATGGCTACTTTCTTCATCTGCGCCACAAGGTTCTCTTCCGTTTTCTTAAATATGCAATTGGCAGAGGCATAACTAAAACTTTTAATTGGCTTTTTCTCTGGAAATCCACTTGGAAAAAGCCATTTTCAGCCCCAGGGCAAGGGGTGAGGGTGGGCAAACCCATGACAACCCGTAAAATAAATTGCTAGAATCTTTCTCGTTTTGAACCCCCTTTAAGATGTAATAAGACAGAGTCAATAAGCTACGTATTTGCACACACTAAACTCCTCTTAGGATGGTTTCTCCTTTGTGGAAAAAGAACTTATTTGGACATCCCTGCTAACATCACTAGGGGACCTTGTTCTATAGGAAGATTAAAGGACCTTACTCCCTGATAAAAAGGATTTCCAAGTAGGAAAAGATAATGGAGAAAAAAGTCAAATCCAGGCCCTACCACAGGACTGTAAGTCACAACTAACTCTTTGGAGCCCAAGTGAAATGACAGGTGCAGCAATTTTAGCCTTGGGGATAGGGGTAGCCATGAACTACCACACAATATACAGGATCATTTCTGCATCAGTAAAGAATATA